AGGCTTTTCTGCCTCAGTGAATGGCAAATATATCGTCAGCCGCTCCAGTCAAAAATCTTGGCCCTTTAGCAAACCTTCAGATGTCGCTACCTTCAAAATACGTGCATTTTAACCCTTTTTCCTCACGTTTACTGTGAACTGCCTTTGTCCAAGCCAATCATGTCTCTGCTGGATTCCTGCAGCAGCCTCCCGACCGATCTTCACGTTTCCTTCTCTGCCCTCCTATGCATTCTTTACATAGCAGCTAGACTAATCCTCTGAACACGCTGGGTTACCCAATGGCATCTAGTGCTCAAAATCTCCAAACGGGTTCTCACCTCAGAGTAAAAGCCGCGGTCCTGACAAGTGGGCCAGGGGCCTTAAACCACCTGTCCCGTATCTCTCCGGCCTTGTCTCCTGCAACTCTCCACCTGACAGACACATCTGGTCCCGCCACACTGGCCTCCCTGCTGTCTCCTCAGACTCTGCGCATGCTCCCGCATGGGGCCTAGGGGCTCACTGTGGCTTTTCTCGGCCACGATTTTCCCCAGGCAACTTCGTGACCCTCAGTCTCCGCCGCCCCCGTGGGTCTTTGTTCAAATGTCTTCTTAGGAAGGTCTTCCCCAGCCTCCCCGCGTTCAGTCGCAGCCTCCACCACTTACCCAGCACTCTCTTTTCCTCATCCATGCTCCGTCTCCACACCACACATCACCATATGACATTATATACTTACCTGTAAATGCGGTAAAGGGAAGGGATCTTTGTCTATTTCCCTCCTCGCTGTATCCTCAGTTACTATTTTAACAGTTCCTGACACATAGTAGGTGTTCAGTAAATATTGGTTGAATGAATCAATCAATGTACTTCGTTTCGGGGTGGCACAGTGGTTACAGTGGTGGGTATTGTCGGAAAGTGGGTTTGGAATCAGGCAAACTTGGGTTCAAATACTGTCCCTGCCACTTATTGTGTGGCCCTGGGCAAGTTGCATACGTCTGTTTTCTGCTCTGAAAAACGAGTGTGATAAATCCCTGTCCTGCAGGACTGTTGTGAGGATTAGGGAGGGTGAGTTTCATTAGGCGGGAGCGGACAGTCCCAACGAGGAGTTGTTAAATATAACTTCTGTAATCCAGATGGGCACGTGATTGCTTGTGAGCCAAAGCCTGGGAAACACCAGCACCCAACAGCTGCCCAGCGTCTGTCACTGGAGGAAACTTTCAACGGGCATTCTTGTTCTGTTTCACATAGTGTCGCAGGCACCTTAACCTCAGAGGGTAGTCTACGGATTAAATGTTGAACTCTGCAGAGATGAAGCCTCATGGGAACCAGAGAAGCAAGCAAAATTCTCCTATATCAGAGGATACAATGTCTCTTTTATAAAACCTTCATAAATCTTCCTCGTGTCCTCGATCTAGCTTTTAAAACCCGTAATATAATTTATTTTCAGATGCTTTTTTTAAAGAATAAACTGTTTTCTGAACACGTCCAGCACGGATCTGGAATCCCTAACATTCATACACAATGTGCACGCAGGCTGAGTAACTGTTTTGTGTTAAACAAAGACCCCAGTGGCGGCTGCCACAGCCCAGGGGCACGGCCACCGACTTCTGTGTGGACTTCCCTCTTTCCGTGAAGGTGGGAACACCTCAGGGCCACTGCAGTGTCAGCAAAAGGCCCAATTGACAGGGTGGGGCAGGGTGGGGGGTGAGGTGGAGGGGGTGGGAAGGTTATTTTCAAGCCAAGAAGCTGCTATTTAGAATAAAAGGCAATTTTTCTGACGGTATGTTGAAAAGAATTCCTCTTTCCCATTTTCTAAAGAAAGATTTTTAAAATTTATTTCCAGAGTTTGTAAAGTTCAGCTCTGAAGTAGAACTCTGAAAAGTTGAGCTCTAACCATTTAATAAAAATCAAATCACACCACGTATTTTGCTTTTAGGATTCTCTGAAGCCAAAGCCCCCGAGGCCATTTGAAACTTGGCCCCTTCCACACCCACGCGGGCCACTCGGGTCGCTGGCTGCAGCCGTGTTGGATGCCCTGGCTTCAAGGTCCCATCACAGTCACTTCATTTGGGCCCAAGACTCCTGGTCCCAGTTACACATCCCCGGACAGCAAAATCATGAAAACACCACTGACCCTTTTCCATAATGGATTTTGCTTAGGAAAAATAATGGCTCACCCTATAGCATTGTTTATTTTACACTCATGTTCAGTTAGATAAGGGCCCAATGCTGTGTTTCTAGCTTGATAAATATCATTTGTAAACGAGCCATTTGCACAAATATTATTCTAGGGTCTCATCAACATCATTGCAAAAATTCCTCTGGATGCCCTGGCTGTACACCTAGGCCAGGGTTTCTAACCTTGGTTGTTGACACTTGGGACCAGACAGTTCTTTGTCACAGGGGTGGTCCTGTCTGTGCACTGTAAGATGTTTAGCAGCATCCTTGGCCTCTACTCACTAGATGTTATTTCATTCAAAGTGTAAATCTGCCTTTAATAAACCAGTTTTCAGGGCCTTTGATTTGTAAAATCTTTAGCAACTCTCCTACACACATTTTATATCCATGGCCAGCTAGGTGTGAAAACAAAATGCAAAGTTTGGTGCCAGGCTAACAGCTTAAAGAGGAGGAGAGTGAGGTATGTGTACCTCATTATTGTTTTTTCTTCTTCCACCACTTGTTACTTTTTTTTTTTTTTTTTTTGGCTAAGGTGGGTGCGGGTTGAGAGCCAAAACAGGTTCAGTCTGAATTGTTCATTTCGATTCAATTCAAGATTCTATCTCTTGAACATTTACTCTATAAAAGACTCGGAGGGGCGAAGGCCGCTTCCACCCCAGGACAGGGTGAGACAGGCCTATGTGACAAATTCACAAAGTGGCGATTTCCCTTCACTGGGGCTTTTCGCATCTTTGGGCTTGACTTGCTCTTCCTGCGACTGCACACATCACTTTTTCTCCATCTAATTCTTTTTAGGGGTGCACTAGTTGCATCCTCTCCCTCATTAGAGAAGACCTCGTAAAAGGGAAGGCTGGATGGTTCTGGAAGAGGAAGGCGGGCATGGGGTCAGGTCTAAACCTTTGAAAGGGGGGCGGGCATACAACTCACTTGGAGGAGGGAAGGAGGAGAGTACAGGCAAGGGAGGAGAACTGTTAAGCTCGAAAGGCGGGAGACTGAGGTCATGTGACATGGCTTTAAGTTTTCTTGATAAAGTAGGAGTCAGGAACATCCACCCAGAACTTGGGGACAAAAGTCTGGGGCTTCAGCACAGCAGAAAGGCTAATGAGGTAAAAATGGGAGAGTGAAGGAATCAAAAGGACTATTGAGTTGAAAAGGATGGCTACAAATTTGTAGAGTAATCAATTAGCCTAATATTATGGCTTTGCTTACCAACATTTAGTAGTCAGAAGCAAACAGAGAGCAAACAAACGGCGATGTATTGACTTCTGAGGGTTGCTGCAACAAAGTGCCAAAAGCCAGGTGGCTTAAAAAGAACAGGACAGTATTGGAGGTGAGAGGTCCCGAATCAGGGTGTCAGTGGGGCCACACTCCCTTTGGTGGGGAGGCAGCTGCTCACCATCGTTGGCCTTCCTTGGCCTGTAGATGTGCCACGCCGGTCACATGGTTTTCTTCTCCCTGTGTCTTCCCTCTCTGTGTGTCTGTCCAAATCTCCCTTTTATAAGGACACCAGTCACATTGGATTAGGGCCCACTCGAATAACCTCAGTATAATTTGGTTACCTCTGTGAAGACCTATTTCCAACTAACAATTCTAAGGTGCTAGCGGTTAGGCTTCAGCGTATTTTTTTTTTTGTGGGGGGAACACAATTCAACCTATAACAGGTGGGTCCAAGGATGGCAAGTGGGCCTTGGCAAAGAGAGTGAGAAAGCAATTGAAGACATTGAGCACATTGGTGGGACGGCCAACCGTGGAGCCCAGCATGGAAAAAGGGTGAGTAGGGTCTGAATTCTGGAGCTCAAAGCTTTGGGTGCCAGGGTAAAGGCTAAGGGTTTGCAGGGAGAAGCTGGTTGAGCCCAGTCATGGATGAGAGGAAGGGGGGACTGGAAGAATGGGACTTCGCGTTCTAAGCTCTTGGGTTTGGGATAAGAGGTTCAGCCGTGGACGATGGTAGACTAGCCACCAGGAAGGCACTCTATTACAGTTAAGGCCATCCCAGAGGCCAGCGTACTGAAAGCAGTTTCTCCATCCACGTCGGGGCTATTTAGGAAAAGGACAGAGGACAATCGTTCAGGTCTCACGATGATCCAGGAATGTGGAAGTACACCCGATAGCTCAGGAGGGAAGAGCCTGCGGAAAGGGTACCGAGGGGAATGACTCCGGGATGGGAGAGCCCCCGAGAGGGAGCAAGGCCCAAACGTGGAAGGAGTCCGAGCGGCAGCAGCACAGTGGAGAAGTGGCCTCTTTCGGTGAGGACTGGATAAGTGCAATGGCGATGGATCGGGAGGAAAAATGGACAAAGGTATGAGCTGAAATATTAACTAGATGCTTCATACGTGATGGCCATTCCTGCGTCAAAGGTGCCTTGTGATTTATCTTGTACCTTCCTCCTGCTACAGTGAGGGAATGGCTGAAAAAGCCCTGCCCCTGATAAACCAAAATGCCAGAACTGACTTGGTCACAGCCCTCTGCCGAAGACGGATTTAGCTTCGCTGGCACGAGGCCCCCTGCTGGAGGTAACTGCAGGCAAATGCAGGCAATACGCAGGGTGAGGACCCGCGGCCTGACTGCTCACAAGGTACACAGCTGCAGGCTGGCTGCTCCTTCAGAACGGGGACGCCCGGCACCTCCGCCAGGGGGTTGCTGGGGTTGCTGGTGCGCAGTGAGTCCTCGGTCAGGTTAGTGAGTGTTATTACAAAAGCCACAGACTAATGGAGGAGGGTGGAAAATATGTTGCTCAAAATCATGGTAACTATGATGATGAGATTCCCAGTGTCTCCCTCCCTCTTGTGAAATATAAAGAGCATGTGAAAAGGGGGAAAAAAAAGAATACATCAAAAAAATCCTAGAACATTTATTTCCATAGGTTCCTGATAAAAGAACAGAATCCTGAATAAAAGTACACCACTGTACTTAAAGGCAAAATTACATAGCAAGCCAGAGCTCTCCCCAAATCCTGTCACTTAGAAACTTCAGGAATTTTCTGCCTCCCGAGAGAGTTGCAATTGTCCATGTCTCCCAGGCACTGTAAGCCCCATCCCAGCTCTCCTTTTCTCCAGCTTCTGTCACTGAAAGGTGTGTTCACAGGTTGGACGTGTGCATGTGCCTGCATGAAAGGCTCGACTGATCCACTTAACGAAGCTGAGAAAAAGTGTTGGAAAAAAGTTACTCCAACACGATTGAGAAGCTTCTGGCCAAGGAGCCTAGCTTTCTCCTCAAAAGTCTTTACATTCCAAAAATGCCACTACAGGTTCCTAAAATTTGAAAGCCAGTAAGTGGGTCTTGTGTTTCGTCCTGCACTGAACTTCTCAAAGTTGGGTCTGAAGGTGAGACACGGGGGAAGGGAAGTGTGGGGATGAGCGGGCACCCACACCCTGCTCAGGCTGAGTGCCTGCCCCAGGGAGAAGGGGGACGAGGTCCCAGGACATGCAGTTTGCGTTGGCTGGGGGGAGAGAGACCAGTCAAAAGCCTGTACCGGAGACCTGATTCTTAAAACCATGACCTCTCCCGCCACCATCGCAAGGTGTCAGGAACCTTCAGTGTTCAAAATCGGCCCGTCCCTCAGGAACTCCACCATAAACCTAAAGAGCTCCTCCTGAGGTGTTCGGCTGGTGGCTTCAGTCTCACCACTAGCCCCTTTCATAGCCCCACAGCCCTTGGAACTATATGGACGGGCAGTCACAGGGCCTGCATGTATGGAACATCATGGCTTTTATACCATGAGTGGCCGGCTTTAAGGAAGGGAGGAGACAGATGGAGGAGCTGAGGCGGCCATCACGGTGGCGATGAGTCAGTCCCATGACGGGGGCCAGTGCGGCCCCTGTGGCGGGCTGGGGCCCGTGGGGCCGTCAGGCGGACGCCTTTGCTGCCCTCCGAGCCTGGTGCTCCTGCTTCGCTCGCTTTCTCTGCTCCTGTTCCCTCTGGATCAAGTACAGCCGCTCCTGATGCCACTGCTGCAGCTTCTGCTCATAGGCGGCGATGTCCTCTGCTTCGCAGGCGGGGAGCTGTTCTTCGATGAGCTGAGTGGTCAGAGTCAAAAGGCTTCTTGACTCAACTCTGCCCAGAGCCTGCAGCTGAGAATGTAAGGCCTGTTGGAAACACACACACAACAAAAAAAAAAAAAAAAAAGGAGAGAAGATGTATGTTGGGGAGGGTAGGGGCAGGTGGAAGGAAACTACAATGAGTAAAAGAGATTAAGTTGCTTGCAAAATCTCCACATATTCTGCTTGTAGGAAAAGGCGCTTTGCTGGGAACCTGTCAGGCTGCCTTTCATCCAAGCACTGTCAGCTTTTGCTCTTTTTCTTTCCAGCCTTAGCAAGTTTGCTTGGATGCACTACATGTGATTTTTTTTTCCCCCTTCACTTACAAACAGTAAACGGAACTCCATATGCTGTGATCTCCTCTAGTTTCTTGTTTTAAATCATAAAGACAACATAAGTATAAGAGATTGCATTTCCACACTGCCCTGCACCGAACCAAGCAGCAAACTCCAAGAACAAAGAACTCGAAGATGCAAACAAAATGGCAGAAGCAGCTGAAAAACTGGAAGCCCATCCATATCTTCTCCTTCAGAATAACCGAGATAAGTGTTTGCCCGACGCGTGTTCCTTTCAACAGATGGAAATCATTTCAAGGATTTCTTACTAATGGCATGCTAAAGAGCTCCCTTGAGTACTTGCACTATTACAGGCTTCCACCTGCTGTGCTCACAGAAGGTCAGCCTTCACAAACTGACTGCTTACAGCTCCATCTGAAATGGCAGCTTGGTTTGCTCAGATTGTGTTCCAGAGAAGTACGAAAAACACTAATCGCCTTAAGTGCTTCAAGGTGTAGATCGCCAGAGAGCCACTTACGGCCCCTGCTATAGCTTATACCACACATGCCCACGTTCCACAAACAGATGCAATTCCCCGACACGAGTGGGGAGGGCTGTTCCAATGGGGAGCGGAATGTGGGCAGGGCCCTGGGTTCAAGGAGTGGCCGGAGGCATAGTGTGATGGGTCTGTCATATAAAAATGGGTCCCAAACAAATGACCGGAGACTAATAAATATCGGGCAACAGAAAGGAATGGAAATGTAAAATGAAAATCATTATTCATGTGGTTTGAGGCCAAGGAGATGGCTTGTGACATGAGAATATGGACACAACTTGAGTCAGAAAACTTGCTCAAATCCAAAGTCTAGGGGCTGGTGTCTCTCAGCCTTGGTGTTGTGTCACACAGGACGAGCAGTGACGGCCACCGGAGCCATGGTGAGGGCAGATGAAATGCGGGCGTGTCTCAGGCACAGCTAGCAGTCAATAAATATTTGCCTCTTGCCTTTTCTTGATTTTCAAGAACAACAACAAAAAGCGTTTTTGGAAGAGTGAGGGCTGAGAATTTAATGTAGGCAACAGATTTCTATTCTCCAAGAGAAAGAGGTGGTCACTTTTAGGAATGGTGTGACAGCCTTCGTCAGTATGAATATGGGAAATGGTAGGCTCTGGGGCTAAGGAAAATTTTTTGTTTTTTACTTAGCCTTTCTAAATCTGCCAAATTAGGCAATGTTAAGAGGAAAGAACGGAAATGTACATTGTTCTGCTGCTAATTCTCTGTGTACCTTGGAAATAGCGATTAACCTTTCTCTCTCAGCTCTCACATTATAAAAGAGGGAGATTGAGCAATGACCTTACAGAAAGAAGAACTGGGAGAAACAGCTGCTAAAAGTGCAGTAGAATCCTCCTTCTATTTGGGGGAAACAGGGGGAAATAGGTTTCCCATAGCTGATTCAATATAATTATTGAGAAGATCTAAAGATAAAATTTACACTGGAAAAATTTACTCTGTCCGCAAATGATATAACAGGTCAGCAGGCATGGATCAGAACGTTTTCTGCTTCATACAAAGAATTCTCCTTCAGGTAGCACTTTTTTCTCTTCAGAGGCCAAGGGTTTAAACCTTCAACATGGCTCTCCTTCCTTGATGACCACAGAGCCTTTGGGGTATACATTTGACAGCTACTAAAGGCATGTTCAGAGCCAGGGCTGTTTTGAAAAGAAACAGTGGAAACTTGTTTCCACCTTCTGTGTAAAGCAAGAGAGCATTTCTAATGGCCCACGAGCAGAACACAAAGCCGCCGAGATGAGCAGAGGAGGATGCCCGCACCTTACCCCCATCATTCTCAGACGTGGCTTTGTAATTTCTACTTGCATTTCTGGGCTGTCAGGCACATTTAGTGCAAGACAGAGAAATGACCGGATTCTTTCCACTCGGCGTTGGAGCCAGGTGACTGCTAGGAGGGGGCAAGCTGTTAGCCACCTATCAGGCACATGTCAGGGATGAGGCGGCTATGACATGCTGCCTTAGGGAACAAAACTGTGACCCATTAGTTCAAGTACAAAAAGGAGAGTAGAAATTCCATTTGTTTCTTTTAAGACCACTTTCTGTGTGAAGCAATAAAAATGCAATTTTCGATCACTCTTAAATGCCTCTGTGTGTGACATTAATGCATGAAAGGCCTGCTTGTCTATCACTGTGGCAGAGCAGCATGTTTAATGCACAGCCGAGAGGGTCTCTGTTCTGCTGTGACTCACCTTAAATCGTTCCCGGTACCGGGGGAGCTTGGACTGTTCGGTTTCCTCCACGTCCAGCTGCTCCATCAGCTCCTCTGGCCGCTGGCTGTCCTCCCCTTCACGGGGCCGTTCCTCCGAAGAGCCAGGGGCCGGGGCACTCAGGGCCTTCAGGACTCTGTCCAGCACATCGAGCTGTGGAGCAGAAACGGGGGCAGGGGCTCACCAGCCTGCGGCCCTGAAAGCCCACTGTGAGGAAAGGCTGCAGAGGGGCAGGAAGGAGGTCTGGGCCCGAACAAGTCGTGAGACGAGTTCTCTTACCAAATTACAGAAAATAGGAATCGTTATATGATTTCACATTAGAAATACCCTGTCTGATGGCATGAAAAACTTCGTGTGACACAAACGATACAAATAAGCAAGCTCAGAATTGTTTGCATATAGATCAGCACAGTGGCATTTGATTTTACTTTTAATCAACCAGGTAGGAATCCAAGACTTATGCTCAATGGGCATTAAAGAATCCTGCCCCCCTGCCCAAGTCTTTCTTCCTCAGTCAGTGTGGAACTGGAAGAAAAGGAAAGAAAAACCAGCATAGACCACAAGCAACAAAAGGCCATTGTGAAGGCTCAGGGAAGCCTCTGAATCTAGGAGAGGGCCTCCTTCACAGGAAGATTCTAGCTCTCAGAGTATCTGTAAATGAGGGATCAGCGCAGTGCACATACACATGCTGCTGGCAAAGAGCCGGGAGGCATACATGAAATCCATTTCAATGAGGCGACTTCAGTGACTTAGGAAGTAAGTGAATTAAAAAACAGAGAGTTTTTTTCTTGACCCCTCTCCCTCACCACTTTCACCCCGGGGCGTCCCTTGCCCGGCCCAGAGGGGCTAATCGTCAGAGATGGGACGGACACCCCCGCATGGCCAGCGGCAGCACCTGCTTCAACATCGATTAATTCTGTCCGTGCCACATTAGAACAAAAATCCAGAAATACTCTGAGGCCTTTTAATGCCACTAACACATACACCCAAACCTGATACATGTCTCATTCTTGTCAACATCTGAATCACATTCTTATTAAGTCAGAACACAGAGAATGCAAATCTGCCTCAGACTGGAAGGAATCTTTCCCTGGCAAAGAGTTCATGTACAATTTTGTTTTTCAATCGCTACTCCTGACTATCGCAGGGATAAGTAGGAATATGTTTAGAAATGTATATGCTTTGTTATAAATGCCTGGCAAAAAAAACAATGATTCACTAGACATAAGTATAAAGAGCCACTACAGGAACCAGACTTGCACATCTCTTGGCTGAAATGAAAGCCAAGTGATCAGGGTCAAGACAAAACAAATATGCAGCTCAAAGTGAACTTTTACACCCTAGTAATAAAACAGCCGATGTGCTTCTAGGCCTCACCCCGACTATAAAAGGTGCTTGGACAGGAGTGGACACTGTGGCTTCCAAAGGCATGTAAGTGTCGTGTGGCTCTAAGATGCTACGTTTCCTGCAGTCTGGAATAAGTCTAGTAACCTCACAGTGTCAAGAGACCCAGGTGACTAAGAGAGACGAGCTTTGGGGCTGAAGGCCAGGTTCCTAGTCCTGGCACAGTAAGCTCCTCAGACCTTTGAGAGGAACCTGTGAACCAGATCTCAGCTCTGTGCATCCACCATGGAAAGGCTTAATGGAAGGGAAGGAAGGCTCTCCCATCTCTGGTCCCCAGAGTCATTTCTTGTGGGCTTGAGAAAAATGAGCGTGTAGCCTCCCAGGACTCTAAGGGTACAGAAAGGCCAAAAATTTTAAATACAATCTTAACCTCTCCTGAGCTGCGGCTGAGACTCGGTTGTGGAGGCGGCACTATGTTACTGAACTCAGGGGAGTTTGAATTTCAGGGGAGGGGAGTAGTTTTCCTTCTAGACAGTGAGCTATAAAGTCAACAATAACCTTATTTTCTAGTATTTTGTCAGTAACGTTGAGAAGACTTGTGGTTTTTCATTCCTTTTTCACTTGAATAAGTATATGATTCTACAGAAATTAGAAAAAACAGTGAGGGGTGGAGGAAGAAAACACAAACAAATCTAAAACCTGACTTAGGAGAAACAGGAGATGGCTAAACCCCACTGAATTAGGACTGAGGACATACCGCTTCTCCGCACAGCTTTCCATCCTCTGGGGAGGAGGCCACCTTCTCCATCACCTGAAGGGCTCTGTCAAGGTATCCGGGCCGCCACAGCAGGGGCATGTTGTGGTACACAGCCCGCAGCCCTTGCTGCAACTCCACCTTCCCTGTCGCAGAAAGGAACAATGAAGAAGGAGGCACGGCCACACCTTCCCGCTGTGTCTGAGACTGAGGACTCTGAGGCACACGCGGCAGCTCTCAAAACAGGGAAGGGCCATTCCACGTCTGTCCCAAGGGTCCCATCCCACCAGCAACCTGGTGCCTGGTGGCATTTCAGATGGATGATGGAAAATGTGGTAAAATTCACTGGATATGTTTTTTTATATACACTTTTTAAACTTGTTTTTCTTCTTTTCCATTTGGGCTGGTGGGGATTATCACGAGGCTGTCTGAAGCACAGGGCTGAGGGGAATTTAGAGAGGTTGATATATCTACTTCTAAGCGGAGATACCCTTATGGCAACTAAAATGCTATTTTTGTTTCAAGAACAAAATTTTCCTCAGCAAAAGAAATTCTACAGCTTCGCTATGGTGAAAATCTTGTCAACATTGGACAATTTGACCTGCCAGGAAACAAACATATGACATTTTTGAAAATGCTCCAAAATATCCCATTGATTGTCCTTATGAAAAAAAAATCTTTTATTCTTCTTTCCTTTATTTGAGTTTTATCACTTTTAAAGCATAATAAAGTCCTCATCATCCTTGGCCTCTCAGGAACGAGTGCTTCTCCTGGTACCTCGAACCATCACCACGGGGACTCAAGGTGTGGACGCCAAATAGCAGGGTCCCTGGCAGGCGAGGGGCTGTCTCAACTCCTGTGGCACTGGAGCCCTCTCTGCACTCATGACCAGGGTCACCTTGAGCTGCCAGGTCTTAAATCCACCTTTACTTATCTCTGAGGATTTGGAAAAGCTATAGTAGGATATAAATAGGCAAAGCTTATCGGGTGACAGCTAATTTTAGAGCTTTAAGATGCTTGGGGCGACTGCAGCCATGTTCTGGGAAGCCGCTTCAACCTGGGTGCGTGAGGCTGCCCTGCACATGACACGAGGGGAGGGAAGCTTCTGGTCTGACGGCCGCCAGTCCCAACGCGCTGGGGCCTCTGCTCAGAAACAACACTAACTAAGTGCATTTTCTTAGCCCTGGCAACTTCCCGAATAATTCCTGCAGTATAATAATCCTGAATGCTAATATGAAGGCAACAACATGTAAACCAGTATTGAAAGCAAGTGGCAAATAAGGAGAACACGGTTTTTAAAAAAGTAGTCAATTCTTTCATTAGTCTGACAGTCAGTCAGGTAAACCCTGGGATTCCTCTCTGAGTCAGTCGATATCAGAATCAGTATGTGAGAACGCCACACTGCATTTTGTGGGTGACGATCAACTTCAAAGGCAGCCCAACTGCTATAACTTTGATGATTTTCAAAAAATGAAGGTAAGCAGGGCAGTGTCTAATCAAGAGAAAGTGCTCTCTCAAACGCCCATCACTTGAGACGAGAGAATGAAAGAGTAATGAAGTAATAGCCATTTAATATACCTCTGGAAAACAGGGTACATTTAATGCGCATTTAATGTTGAGTGTTATTCGTCCAGATTCCACACAACCCAGGTTCTGAGGCCCCGTCTCAGAAGGCTTTGTCCCCCTGAGCTGTCTGACTACAATGCAGTCAGAGCACTGACGCCAAGCTACCATCGCCCCGCAGGGCACAGCCACGCTGTCCCAATGATTCCCTCTCTGCTTCCCCAAAGTGCTGCTAGTTGTGCTAAGAAAACAATACCAAGGAGAGAACCTCAACCCTAACTCTTAATTTCTTCCTGGACTTCAGATCTAGAGAGAGAGAGAAAGATGTTTGTTAATACTGGGAAAAACTCTACTGGCTTATTCTCCCAAAAGACTTAGAACTTTTCTTTTCTATCCCTTCCTCACATTGTCTGTAGAATGTACAGCTACCAGCACTAGTTCTCAGCTTGCACGTCAGTGACAGGTCTTAGGTCCCTCATTATTCTCTTATGTCATAACCGTAAAGCCATCAAAGTCTATTTTGTGTGTGTGTGCACACACTCGCCTAAAAGTGAAAGCTATATAGGAATTTCACTAGCAAATCTAAATCAAACTCAAATTTTATTATGAAGTGAAGAATGCATTAGTTCTACCCAGGAAAAACAAAATTTGTGAGCATCACTTTGCTTACCAAGAAGCGCATAGCCATACAACTGAGAACTCAACCCCACCGCGTTCTTCTGCTTCAGGCCTGGGAGTAACAGGGAAGCACCGAAGTTCCTCTCCTCTTCCCACTGCAACAGGATGTAACAGAGCATGGTCCAGACAAGCAATGAAAACTTTATCCGAAAATGTGATTTTTAATAACGTGGAAGAAAAAGAACACGTTATATAGCATTAAGTTAAAAAAGAAAAATAATAAAGCTACAGATGCATTATAATCACAATTTTGTAAGTAAAAGGTGTTTATGTTTAGTGAAAGATAAAGAATACCCTATATGTTAAAAGACTTCTGGGTAGTGAAATTATAAGTAATTTTGGTTTTCCTCTCTACTTTTCTTTATTTTCCAAAAATCTGACAATGAGTAAGAGCTCCTTTTATAATCAGAAATGCAAAACAAAACAAAAATAAGGAGTATACTCTGGACCAACACTGTCTTGAGACAATAAAAATCTGACACGCTGTTGGATTCACTCACGTGGCTATGACATGATGGAGCAAGCTTTTGAATTCTAAACAATTTGGTAATGTTAAGACTCCTGCTTGGCAGTGTTAAAATAAATACAACTATTAGGTTGCTTTTAGATAGATTTATGCCTCTCAAAAATAAATTAGGCGATCAGAAACACTTAGTGATCATTTCTTTCAACCCAGGGTGCAAAATTACACTTCAATAACATTGGAGCCTTTTGAGACAAGAGAAAAATGGGGCAAAACGACAAGCATGGCTACGCTTATGTAGAACGGTAGCGGCAGGGACAGAGCCTCGCTGGAAGAGCAAGGCCCCGAGGAGCGCCTTGGCAGCCCCCCAGACAGGAGAGCCGTGATCGCCTTGGTGCTATGTGAGTCTGCGCTGGCCTGAGGCTGGGCTCTGGCTGGGAGACGCAGACACAAAGCTCAGGCTGCCCTGCAGGACTGGCCCCTGCACTCAGCAGCCTGCGAGGACTCGAGGAGGAATGTGGTCTGCAGGCTACCCGGGCACCCTGGGTGTTAATAGGCGCCTGCACCTTTTTACTGGGGATGGCCTTTGTGCAAGGAAAGTGTCATTTTTAAAGGCCTGAAAAAAAGCAAAGGCCTTGGGAGGAAAACAAAACCTCCCCAGGCAGCACAGATAAGTAAATTGCTGGTAATTAAGGACCAGGTCACTTCACTTGCAAAAGCAAATCACTCTAGGAGTTTCCCCTACATAAACTGCATGAAAAGGGGCCAGGTGAATAATAAATAAGGAGCTTTCAAAGCTTATTTTCTTTTATTTAAGGCAAAAAAAATGAAGGATCTCTAGCATCAGAATACAATAGGGCTAAAGGCCTAGTAAGCGGTACCCTTTCTGTGCTAGGAGCCGAGCGGGGTGATGATGGTGACAGGAATGGTGACGCTCCCAAAGGACTTTTTAAAAAGATGAAAACAAACAAAAATAAATGATTGTCTTAGAGCATCCCCCCCGCCCCCCCGCCAATGGTCTGGGAATAACACAACCACTGCTAAAACATTAGGTTTGTTCCAAGCCGCTAGCTTCTGTTGTACGTGCAGACTAAGCCAGGTGCTAGTTCACCGATGTCCTGCAGGTTTTTCCACTTTATGCTTCTGCCTCTCCAATACGAAGCAAACCCTCACTTCCCCTCTTCCCTCGCTCCACTCCGTGCCACAGCTGGACATCCCGAAACGCTTGCTTACACTCGCTGACTCCTTTCTGCATCTCTGACTCACCCCACAGCCCACTCCAATTTGGTTTCCTGCCCATTCTTTTATGGAAACAAAACTTACAATTAGGTGCCTTCATGTTGCTAAATTTAATGAATTTTTCGAGATCAGGAGAGATCAGGCTGCTTCAGGGTGGCATGGCCGCAGACTAAATTCAATGAACTTTTCAGAAGCCCTATCCCGACTCAGGCGCGTGCTGCATTGTAGACCGCTCTCCTCCCATGGGTTCTGTGGTCCGCACATCCCAAATTTTCCTTTTGCTCTTTGGCTTCTTTGCGGACATTTATATGGATATATACATTTTATATCCAGTCCAGATTTTTCCCGTAAGATCCTAATTTCCCTTGTGCAATCCTTTGGCTATCTCAAAATGCTAACTCTTCAGAGCCAAATTAATGATTTTCCCCATAAAACCCTGTCTTTTTCCACAGTTCCCTTTGCAAATGCACGTGGAACCCCTTCTGCCCAGATATAATACACAGGTCAGAAACCAAGGAGGGAAGCTTTGACCCCTACTTCCCTGGCTCCGCATCTAGTTCAGTGTCATGTTATTTGCCTCCCAAAGACGTCCGTCGGCTGCTCCGGTAACTCCGCCACACCCTGGCCCCCAACCACCGGCCAGCTTGCTCCGAGGGCCATAAGCACCTCCCGAGTGCTTACGTAAAACATACCATAATGTTTAGAATGTAGGCTGGACTAGATGACATTTTCAGTTCCTACCCAAACTAGAATTTTTTTAATGTTATACTTGAATTAAGGGCAGATGATTGTACCAGACTTCCTTCATGAAGGGGCTTCATGCTATTAACTGATATCTCTGTGCTCTAGGCTTCTCATCCATATAGAGTTGTGAGGATTAAATGCATTAATAAATTTAAAATACCAAGAACACAGCCTGGCATAAAGTAAGCACTCTTTCGATATTAGTTATTGTTGTTATCACTGTTGTTATTCTTAGGGTGGCAATAAATAATGACTAACTACCTAACCTAAGGGGTAACACCAAAACTTGGTCTTCGGGACTTACCCAACATAACCTTAGGAAAACACTGATATAAATTAAATAGTTGGTATTTAATACCTAAGGCTACCGTCTAAGTGAGCACCTAATTGCTCCTCTGATACGTCACGCCCAGCTCTCACTACCAGTTACCCATTTCTGAATGTCTGATGAGCAGTCGAATTAGCTCAAGTTTCAAAATGTGCATAAGCACATTCACTTGGGATTCTCTCAAGTGAAGGGGCATCCAATTCCACTTAGCTGGATGTACAAAGTGAATACTCATTCCTGGTTGGCCTCAGCCACGGAGCCGCACATCAGCAGCTCCTTTCAGATCCAGAGAGACGTTTCTGGCCTCCTCATCCCTACTGCGCAGCCACTACTTGCTTTTCCTAAGGCTCCCAGGATGCCTCAAGTGGGTCACTTACAGTGAAGTCTGTCTTCTTTGCCAGACAATGGTGTAAAACATGGAGGGAGAGAAGTTGGGTGGAAGGCACTTCAAAGGCTTCTTGCATCATGACCTCAAAAACCACAGATAAAGCATCTGGCAGGAAGATCAAGGTCAAAAATGAGAACAAATTAGCTGCAGGTAACGTCACTATCTCTATGTTTAACCATAAACACTCACAAATATTGGCGGTGATAGAAAAACAAGCAGAATTAAGAAGTAAAACAATGTGACCTCTGGTCCTTGTTCTTCGCAAAACTTTAGCTTCTGCTGTCCATACTAGTATTTACTAAACCTGGTGCTACTGCACCACTGTACTCAGGGACACTGAATAAACCACGTACTGTCTCCCAGTAGCATCTTCCTAATGATAAAATACTTTTGTCTCATCCACTTCATAGGATTGTGGGGCAGCCCAACAAAGTATCACACATGAAAATGCCTCATAAACTGAGAAGCAAATTGAAGGCATCATGTCTATCAGCTGGAAGAGCTAAGGCACACAGAAAGAAGGCAGATATACAGGGTTCGGCAGAGATTAATTCCCCTTTTTTATTACAAAATCTTTTATTACAAAATCATAAGCATGTAATTCTGTAACAATATTGCACTCAAGCACACCATATGGCATTTTAGGTGAAATGTTCAGATTAAAACAATAAGTTATTATACCCATATTATTACCCTACCGACCACACTCAAGCAGGAGTTACTTCTGCCGGACCCTGTATTTTCTAGGTTACCCTGACAAGCAGAGCTGGGCTGGGTTGACCGCTCCATTCTGTGTTCTGGTACCTTCTTGTTGTGACAAAAGAGGACAAATGCTGGAGGCAATCCTAAATCCTAGGTATTACTTCAAAGACAGAAAACCGACATATATAAAAAAGATAATTGAGCTCAGTTTAAGACTTGAATGAAGGGAAAGGAAAATGCTTGTTCATAAATTATAAGCACTTGGGTATAATATACAAAATATTTGTTGCCACATGAACACTAGTCATAGGAGATCAGACCTTGAGCAATCTTTAGTTTCCCTTAACATTCCACGACATACACAGAAGCCAAGAAAATCAAGTTCAAACAATTTCCTTTTCTTTTTTAAAAACCCTCACTCAAGGACATGCTTATTGATTTTTCAGAGAAAGGAGGAGAGGCAGAGAGGGAGGGAGAGGAACATTGATACAAAAGAGAAACATTGATGGGTTGCCTCTTATAAGTATTCCGACTGGGGCCTGAACCAGCAACCTAGACATGTGCCCTAACCAGGAATCGAACCTGTGACCTTTCGGTTTATGGGACAATGCTCCATCCAGCTGAGCCACACGGGCCAGGGTCATTTTCCTCTTCTTAATATTTGTTGTTAGAGAATGTTAATATTGGTTTAAAATGTGGTGCCTGCATATAACAGGTACAAATATTTTTGACAGTTACTGTGTTAACCAATTTTCACTTACACTCATAATTATAAGAGCTAGCACTGGTTTTCAGCTGTTCCTGGTCAGCTGGTTTTGTACATGTTGTCATGGTTTGGAATGAGGCCACAGGCAAGAATTTCTATATTTGGTAAACTGAGATAGACAAGCAGACCAGGAAGTCATCTAGTCAGTAGCAAAATAATGACCTGGAATAGATTTTAAAAAAAAAACAACGAAACACCAAATAAAGTAATATTTAAAAGATAATTAAAGCTACAAATACAGTTTAAAAAAACACTTAGTTTTGCTGTTTACTACTGAATCTAAAATTACACATGAAAAAGAAATCAAACTTACTTTTTTCATTATTTATATTCTCTATTTTAGTTATCTTGGGAAGTAAAATCAGATTTGCCTGTATAATTAATTTAATTTTCTTCCATAATCATTTATGTACTTTGATATTTCCTACCCTAACAACAGAAATATATACTTTCTAAGTTTTGCCATAAATGATAATCTTTATCAAAATTTTATTTTTAAAAATTCAGTATTATTTACTCTGTATTTAGAAAAAAAAATCTCCTTTGATACTTCCAGCATACCTTTTAAAGAGAGAGTAAGGGAACAAAACTGCTACCATATAATTTTCCAGTGATACAGTAATATGGATTCTTACATCTGATGTTCAGAGAATAGATTAGTAAAATTAGATTATGTGAAAGCAAATTATCTTTCAGTTGAATTCAGGAAATGAATGTTTAAAACTGAGTACGAAGTGGACAATAAGGGATAATTAACATTTCAAAAAATAATATGCAGCAAATTTCCCTTGGCAGTCAGCAACTGGGAGCCTGTGAGAGAGAAGATAAAACGGAGATCCAGAGAGAGAAAAGGAGAGGGGTCCCACACGAGGGGCAAAAATGGCCAATGCCCAGCCTGCTCATTGAGGGCTGATGCAATGGAAAAGGCCGAGGGTGCTGGCACACAGGGATGGGACCCACAGAGAGGATCACAGATGCCCCAGCTGTATAAGGGACCACCAGTGCTCACTTCAGCAGCACACATACTACAACTGGGATGATAAAAGAAATTAGCGTGGCCCCTGTGCAAGATGACATGCAAATTTGTAAAGCATTCTATGTTTTTAACTAAATAAAATAATATACCAGTAATATACCAGATGCAGAGTTCAAAACAATGGTTATGAGCATGCTCAAGGAACTCAGGGAAAGAATGAATAAAGTCAGTGAGAACTTCAACAAAGAGACAGTAAGCATAAAAAAGGGCACAGAAACCATTAAAAAAAAAACAAACCAGTCACAAATGAAGAATACAATATCTGTAATGAATAAATACATTACAAGGAATCAACAACAGACTAGATGAAGCAGAAGATCGAATCAGCGATTTGGAAGACAAGGTAACAGAAAACACCCAGAGTTCCTAAGTGACCCCCGTCCACATTCATGGGCCTGAGGTAGTAGGTACCCTAAGACAGGTGTGGCTCCCTCAGGGCTCCGTGGTACCAACCAAGCCTGGATGAGATGGTGGAAGTGGGAAGCCAGTGTGTGTCTTTATATGGCAAGGCTTCCTCTCGCCTGTTTGTCCGCACAGCTGCGTGCACAAGTGTGCTCCACTACAACTCCCTGCTCACTGGTGACCGGCAGTGCTGCACCCGTCCATGGGAGACCCGCAGGGTCCCACCTGACGGCACGGTCGAGTCCGCTGCAATCACCACCTTTCCTTGGCCTCCCTTATTGCAGCTGAGGTTAAGAGCCACTTTAAATTAATTTCACAGGATCAGAGAATTTGGGGGTGAAGATTTCTCAGAGATCACTGATCCACTTATTTACAGATGAAGCAACAATTTCTAGGGAGGGAAAATGACGTTTTGTCATAGTGAGTGTACTGTTCTTTTCCAGGAGAAGTCAACTGATTTTATAGTTTTATATTTTATATAATATAACAACTATGATTTAAATAAAATAAAGGTAGCAAATGGTGCCAAAAAGCGGGGGTGGGGGGTGGGGCGCGAGCTAATAACAGCGTTACTATAATCTTAACTAGCCATGGAAGCTCAGGCAGGGTTTTTTGCCTGACTCAATTCACTGTTCTTTGCGTAAAAAGACATGCACAAATAAACTTGACAAATTCAGAGGAAAAAAACCTAGACATAATTTTCCTCTCTGGCCAACTGGAATGGTAAATCAACTACAAATCTACCTCTGAATGATTTTAAGAGATGTCATTAAGAAATGCAAAAGGGAAAGTGACCACATTTACTTCTCTTTGGGAGCTGAAGCCCCATTATAAATGGACCTGGGTTTGGTTTCTTACCTTTGTAATTGTCTTTCTTTATGAAATAATCCATCAGTAAATTGAATGTAAAGTTATCTGGAAAAATTCCATATTGAACCTGTAATGAATATGGATATAAAGGGAAGATAAGAGAAAAATCCCCATTTTGACTTAAAATATATACCGATGTATTATTCAGGACAAAACTCACCATCATAAGCTTTACAGTATTTGCCTATCATTTTACAACATCTGGGACAGTGAAACAGAAGGTGTAACTCTTAAGTTTTGGTAACTGGAACTGTTGGTCAGGGTGAGAAACGCATGCATTTAACAGTGCAGATTCTTCTTCTTTTTTTAAAAAGATTTTATTTACTTATTTTTAGAGAGGGGAACGGAGGGAGAGAAACATCAATGTGTGGTTGCATATTGCGCGCCCCCTACTGGGGACCTGGTCTACAATCCAGGCATGTGCCCTGACTGGGAATCAAACCAGTGACCCTTTGGTCCGTAGGCTCGGCGCTCACTGAGCCAACCAGCCAGGGCTAACAGTGCAGTTCTTAAGCCTCAGACTTATAGAATCAAAATCTCTGGGGATGAGTCACAGAACCCTGAGGTTTTAGTGAGCCTCCCATGTGATTTTCATTCAGTCAAGGTTGACTAATGATCTAAATTGTGGTTATATTTTTGTTTGTTTTAAATTCTTACTTCAGTAGGTTTACCCACCATCCTCAACATCGCCCCATTCTTCCGCCACCAACCTCCAGAGTCGCTTGAAGACTTTTTCCACACTATACCTACCCTCTTGTATCTTCTTGGGGCACCCAGATGGTCCTAACCACTGCCCCTACCCCCACCCCGGTAGTGAATCACTGCTGAATTGAGTCACCGTTGCTGGGAGGCTGCACGGGATGCCTCAGGTGTGCTGAAATGGAAAAATGTTTAAGCCATTGTTTGAACGGTTGGAGCTCATGGGCAGCCTCTGTATTTCTCAGAACGGTCATCCAAATCAGCATTAATCGTAAGGGCAGGGCAAAAATAAAATGTTTTATATTGATATATCATTAAAGCTAGAAGGAGCCTTAGAAATCAACCAGTCAGTGATTCTCAGCTGGGGCTGCAAATCAGAAGGAACATGGGAGCCTTAAAAAGATACCAATGAGGGATGTACAGGCAAAACACAGGATTTTAAACGCAGTAAAACTACTCTGCATGATGTTGTAACAGTAGGTACATGTCATTACACATTTGTCCAAACCCACAGGATGTACAGCACCAAGAATGAACCTTAATGTAAACTGGACTTTGGGTGATTATGATGTGTCAGTGCAGGTCTATCAGGTGTAACAAACGCACCGCTCTGGTGGGGGATGTTATAATGGGGGCAGCTGTGCATGTGTGGGGGCAGAGGGCAGAGGAGAAATCTCCATACCGTCTCGATTTCGCTGTGAACCTAAAACTGCTCTAAAAAATAAATTCTATTAAAACAAATTTAAAAACTCATTAAAAAATATCAATGCCCGGGCTCCAGAAAGATCCATTAAATGAAAATCTTGGGGATGTATCTAAAAATTTTAAAAGCTTCTTTTGTGATTCTAATGGGCAGCCAGGGTTGGAAATCGCCGATTTAGTCACTTGACTTAGGAATTATGGAATTATATCCTGGGTCTTCTGACTCCTTGCCCAGTGTTCTTTCCACAAAAGAGCAGAAAGAGCAGAAAATGAGACAGACATTTCTGCCTTTCTAGACTATTCTTGCTTTTGTTTTCATAGGCATCTTCTCTTAGTATAATCTGTGTCATTAAACTGCAGAGAGCAGAATTCAATCTATTTCTTCCCTTGGGGCCTAATATTAGATTTATCAGTGAACCTGCTTATCTGCCTTATTAAATTATAAGTTTCCTGAGGGTAAGGAGAGGATATTGCTCATTTTTGTAGACAATGCCATACCCAAGGCAATGTCGCACATACAAACTGTCTGCATCGTATATTAAGTTGAACTGGGCCCAGCTCACGGGAGAAAAAAACTTCCCAGAACGAAATTAGTATTTCCTTTAAAAAAAATGTACAAACATTTATAGTATTTCCATTTATAGTTTGAGTTTTAACATACAAGGTCCAATGCTACTATAGGAATAATACATTTTCATAGAAACATTGTTAGAGTCTTTTTATAGGTCATAATAGTATTGTAGCTTAAGACTCACAATAACAATGTTCTAAACTTTTGCTTATTTTGTACTGAATTGCTTGAGGGGAGGGGTCAGGGAATTTAGAAGACATTATTTGAGTAACTAGGAATACGTCTTTTTAAAAATGTGTAAGACAGCCTGAATACTAGGGTCTTGACTATTCCCCTAAACTTCACCAAAGGGGACCAGGCATGAAACCCCAGGCTTAGGGACCACGAGTGAAATGCGTTCCCATGCAGAGTTCTCGCGACTGCTGCCTAAGCTTCTGCCTGTCCACTTCTGAGTCTCTGCATCGGAAAAAGCAGCATCTACAGGAATTTTTACTAGAAATGTGTTGATTAATTTACATCCAGCTCCGTTCTCACAAGGGTATCTGAGGGCAAATAATTTAAAAAAGTTATTTCTTATACTATTTTTGTTGTACTGTAATAGGTTCAAACACCGTTATCATCTGAACTCAAAGGAACAAGCTGCAAATGCCAGGAGAGCACTCACTTTATTCACAAGGGTATATAAGGCTTTGTCCTGCGCGCCGTATTTCAGGCACTGCCTGATCCAGGTGTGGATAGTCCAGTCTCTCAGGTACCAGCAGTTGGGGCTGTGTCGGAATCTATATAAAATATAAGAAGAGAGAAAACCGGTGTTAACTCTTAAATGTCAGTGCCAAAATCTATCTTTCACCAGCAGGTACTTCTCTTAGGTGTTTACAGTTGTGTAGTCAGTGTGACCAAAGTCATAAAAGTCAACAGTCTATAAAAACTTGAGGATAAAACTCATTAACTATAAAGTCTGAAATGGGAAAGAAATGGCAAAATAATAATAAAAAACAAAAACATTGTAAAAATTGTATTCTTTATTTAATGCCCCCTAAGTCAAATCTTGTTTTCATATGAGGTTTATGAAAACTGATTTGGAAGAAATACTAACCATGGCGTTATGTGAATATACAGTTCAACAGAAGAGAGATGTGAAGCTGAAGCTGACACCTTAGAAGTTCACAGCAACACAGGTGAAGCAGAAAAGAAAACAGAGTAGCACAGCAGCTCTACAAGGAAATTAGCTTTGTGTGATACTGATATTTCTTGTGGTACTTAGCAGAGATTGGGATCCTTGTCACTCAATCAAAAGAAAAAGAGCAAAAAGTTATAAAAATTATGGAAAATCTTAACATTCAGGCCCTCCAGGTCTTCAGGATCCACAGTCCTGCTGCCTTCTTCACAGCTCTCTTACCCCCTCAGTCCTTCTCTGGCTTCCCGCTGCTCCCCATGTGGTTGTAAAAGGCAGTTGAAGCTAAGGCGCACACGGTAACAGTGTTGCCGCAAAGAAAGGAATTCCGACTACTACTCCTGCCTTGGGTTTGCACACGACAGTCATGCCTTGGGTCTGAGCGCTGCTCCTTGCTCCTGGCAGTCCGGGCCACGGGAAGGAGCGAGAGCAGAGACAGTATGAAGGGCTTTGTAGTCCTCTTTTTGTTTATCTGTTTTGATTGGGATGGATCCTCAAACATCGTATGTCAACTAAAGTGCTCATTTTTTCTTCAACCTGATGGAATTAGGTCAATCTCTGGGCCCTATAAAAATCGAACTGTTTTCTTAAAAACAAAAAGGCAAGACAAAAACTTGGAGCACAAGGATTTTGTGCCAGATTTGAGAGTTGGGGCTGCGGGCTGGTATCAGTGTTTTTCAGAGGCTGCTTATGCTATCTGCCACCTGCTATTTCCTGCCATCTGCTATTGGGAAAGTTTCCTGCTGAACAGGTTCTTTTGCCAAAGTAAGAGCAGAGAAAAAGAGAAAAAGTGAGAAGTAGTATTTAATTTAGGTTATTAGTGCTCTGGTTAGAGAACTGGCAAAAATAAAATCTGAAGAGGTTTTTATGCCTTTAGAATCTTTTAGCCCTCTCCAGTCTTTTGAATATCTTAGATGTGGCTAGAACATGTCTCCCTCTCACTGTCTTTCTTTACAGAATTAACCCCTTTAAAAGCATAAAGAAAGAAACTGGTCAAATGATGTTCAGGTTGAGAGTGATCTGGCTCCAGGAAGGCCTTGTGCTGATGCCCAAGGTTACAAATCTAATGAAATCCTCTGCACAGAAGTAAAACAAAACATGTCTTTTATTATTTCATGCTTTCCCTCACATTTTCAAATCGGTTGTTGAGCCACTTGAGCTCCTCTCCTTGTTACTCTGGAAAATCTGAGATATAGACTGTAACGGCCAATTAAAGGTTAATTTTAGTTTTTAAAGGAAAAAAACAAACAAACGCGTGGCACACCAGGCGTGTTGCCTAAGTGATGGAGGTGCTTCCCTCCTTGCCTGCGCCCCCCGCCCGGCAAGCAGGGGCAGGGCTACGTGCTCAGCACTGGGCCCCCAGTGCCAGACACACCCGGGGCCCATGGCAGGTTTTCAGCAACAAAAAAAGAGCTCTAATCAACACATGTGTTAAATGCTATAATGGACTGATCATTTTGCTACCATCTATTATATGAAGAAATGGAAGTTCCCTGTTTGGGGCATTTAAAATCTCACTACAAAATTTAACAATTATATGAATTAGAACAATAAATGCTGAAAGGGCACCAAGAGGTGTTTTTGGTAGCAATGGGTGTGAGGTTCAGTACATTTTCCCTTTTAAACACAAACAAAACACAATAAAAATGTCAATTACTTCCTTACCCAAGATTATCTTAAACCTAATCCTCATTTATAATCTAATCTTCTGCTTTAGGATGTCTCCAGTGAGCACTACAATTAGGACTTTTCTTTATGATGGACTTCAAAATAAGAGCACCATGACTATTTCCAACCAAACATCCTTTTCTCTCATTCATGATCAGCAGACCATTTTTAGGCTTTGTGCAAGAATAACAAAGATTGATGGGACCTAGCTATAGAGCTTCAAAGCTTAAGTTAAAATCTGTTTAAAACCATTTGCTAACCTTCTGAGACTAACTTCAACTCATAGAATTAAAAAGTCTTTTCTTCTCACCCTTTATTTTTTAGAAGCCTACATGGAAAGTTACTTAAGACTTCCCACATCCAATAAAATCACTGCTGCACTGCAGCCCTTTGAGGGATTTGTCAACAGACTCAAAGTCGTCGTTAGAAAGTCTACCTTCTTTCCCATCCTGGAACAGGGCTGCTTGGTATGATCTCTGCTTGCTAAACCTAATAATCCAGATATACAACCATGACTAGAAAATTCTCAACTAAGTGGCAACATTAAATCAGTTTAGGAACAAGAGGGAAACACGCATATATTATGAAATATGCTGTCCAACGTGCAATTCCTGAATTTCTCAGCCAGACAGCAAATAAACTCCTTTCCGAGCCTCCATCGGTGTTAAGAAGAAATAAGCACACAACGTATGGGAGGAGCTATCTAGAAAATAACTCAAAATACTGAGACAGTAAGGTCCAATTTCAGAGAGTGAGTTTGGAAAGAATTCCTCTGCCAATGATTTTTGAAGCAGTTTAGACAGATAAACTTGGGCCCTTTTCAGAACTGCCAGGGGTAATCTGACAGGCTCAGGAATGGGCACTTGCCTGGAACGATTCTGCAGGCTGCTGGACCAGTGTTCTCTCGTCCAGCCAGGAGAAAGGCAGACACAAAAACACAACTAACACATTGATTTTCCAATTTGCCTGCAAACAGACTGGCCTTTGTTCTCGCCTGCTCTGACCACCGGCCGGGCAGATTACAGGCAGCCACTGTAGGAGTCCCCTCTGTGCCCCGCACCATCAGCTGTTTGCTCACCTCGACAGAGCGTTATTATTGTCCAGGCCAGCAGGCTGCCACGCTGGGCAAACTGTGTGAGTGGGGAAAAGATAAACAAACACAACCCAAACAACCCCAACAATGTTTGTGCTCAGGAAGGCAAGAGACATTCTGAGCTTCCAACTTATACAATAAAAGTAAATTTAACACAATTTTAAAGACAAGAGTATTTCTTGGAGAAAGGAGTGTCTCCAAAGGAAGGAAAGAATGAAGGAGTATGCTCTCAAGCTCTAGCTCTAGCTCTAAAAGCTGGTAACCAAGGGCTGAAGGGATCTCTGTCCACGGTGCTAAGTGGGGTTGTCAGGTGAAGACAGTGCCTCCCGAGAAAGCCAAACCATGGCCGATGAAATGGCAGGAACTGAGAAGCTGCCTCTCCTCAAAACTCAGGCTATATTCAACTCTTCAGGGCATTTCCCTACACTGTTGCTCATTCAAGACTGATGTCAACAGGAGGGAAGGAGAACGGAATCACAGGCTACAGGATTGACAAGGGGGCAAAAGTCTTTGATGCCCTAGAGATATGTTGGAAGGGAAGAGGTGTTACATAGAAGTCAAGAATGAAAAGGAAAACACCAGAGACTTATTATGATTATACAGAGGGTAGTTTACTGTGGGTAAAAGCCACATGGGATTTCCTATTTGTGACCAATTTCATCCTTTAATTAGGAAAATAAGTGAGATAGAGCCTTTCTTTCAAGGGATTCAAATAAAGGTTGCTGCTGAAGGCAAAAGTGGCAATGCTCATCAGCTCTCCCAGTGTGAGGGACCAAAGTGCTCCTGGCTGAGCAGGGCCGACGCGCAGATGCCAGAGCCTGGAGCTCATCTGCTCCACCATTTAGCAGCAGTGCTGGCTCTTCCGTGTGAATGAGCAAGCTTTCCACAACGTTTATCTGATCATGAGAGCCACCACCCTGAAACATGCACGTGCAGCTTTCCTTCCTCCCTAGTGCATTTGAATTCTGTATCCTGTGGCAACAGTCTCTACAGATGGAGACCTCAGTTTCCTCACTGGGCCGACTTGGAGCTGGGTGAACGGGTAGAGGGTGGGAAGAAAGAATGCCAAGAAGAAAATACAGCTCCAGCCCTGGCTGGGTGGATCTGCTGGTTGGAACATCAACCCGTACACCAAAAGGCTGTGGGTTCAGTCCCTGGTCAGGGCACATACCTAGGTTGCAGGTTCAATCCCCGGTTTGGGCAAGTACAGGAGGCAACTGATCGATATTTCTCATATCAACGTCTGTCTCTACCACTCCCCCATACCTCCTCTTTCTCTAAAATCAATAAACATAACCTTGGGTGCGAATTTAAATATATATATAGCTGGCTCCAAAGCCGGTAATGTGAACTGGGAATCTTGCCAATGAAGCAAAGTGTGTAATCATAAAAAGGTTTGAGTGCATTTGTGAATAGAAACAAAGTGGGTGAGTCTGATTCAATCACCACCACCCACTAAAAATTTTAGATAATTAACTCTTTTGCATTCTGCTGGAAATTCCGCTTTTATTGATTACTAGTTGCCCCCACCTACCACAAATAAAACAAAATTTTGATGAGATTATTTTCTCATGAGTATATTTTTGTCAAGTGTTTAAAAAGGGGGCAGAGTCTAATGTAAGAAGTGACCATAAAGACATCAGTAGGTTAAAATTCTTGTCTTCCTTGAGATACTAGACTCGTACTTGTTTCGGGAAACTTCAGTTAAATTAGCTTTCAGAAAACATGTCCTGGGTGTGTACTGAGTGAAGCAGCAGGAGCAAGATCTCCTCCAAAATACCTACCCCCCAAATGGGCAACCAGCCTGGGCTCAAACATTTCCAATTAATTCATTATGTACCTCA